CCGGGATAAATTCTCCTTGCGAATTCCCCTGTCATTAATTTCTTAGCTTGACATAGCATGCACGTGTGCGTGCGTGCGTGCGTGCGTGCGTGCGTGCGTGCATGTGTGTGTGCTTCCTTATGTGCGTGCGTGCGTGCATGCGTACATGTGCGTGTGTGTGTATATGTGCGTGTGTGCGTATATGTGCGTGTGTGCGCATATGTGCGTGCGTGCGTATGTGTGCGTATATGTGCGTGCATGCGTACACATGTGTGTGCGTGCGTACATATGTGCGTGCGTACATATGTGCGTGTGTGCGTATATGTGCGTGCATACGTACATGTGCGTGTGCGCGTATATGTGCGTGCATACGTACATGTGCGTGTGCGCGTATATGTGCGTGCATACGTTTATGTGTGCGTGTGTGCGTACATGCATACGTATGTGCGTGCATGCGTACATGTGTGTGTGTGCGTATATGTGCGTGCATACGTATGTGCGTGTGTGCGTATATGTGCGTGCATGCGTACATGTGCGTGTGTGCGTATGTGTGCGTGTGTGCGTACATGTGCGTGCGTGCGTACATGTGCGTGTGTGCGTATGTGTGCGTGTGTGCGTACATGTGTGTGTGTGCGTACATGTGCGTGCGTTCATTACGTATGTGCATGCGTACCAGACTCGGATTCTGAATTATGGCCATAAAGGCATAATAAAATGGGGGTTTTCTTGTTCTTGTCATGAATAATAAATGCTTGCTTTTCACATTTCATATATTTGTAAAATGATTTGTTGTGTGAAAGTAGTTGTTTGCGATGAAAAGTTGTTTTATTTTTTCCCGATATTCTTTTGTATGTGTGAAAGTGAAACGATACTTTTGTTGTTAGGCTACCACTATTAACAGGACCTAGTAAAAGTGTTCACTTGCTTGAGGGAAATTCACAGCAGTCATAATAAACACGTGTTATACAAACTCAAGCTTACTTTTGATTTCTCCAATTCAGTATGAACCCTGCATGAATTCTCGGTAGAGTGGAGGGCAAGGGGGGCATCGCAGAGCCATGGGAAGGCGAATCGCTCGGGCCTGAAACCATTATTGCGTGATTTTGAAGGAAACTTTGAAGAAACTTTGAAGAGTCTGTTGTATTCTGTAGATCTGACATGCGTCTTGGTGTGTTTCAGGGTAGGTAAGACGTCGTTGATGAACCAATACGTGAACAAGAAGTTTAGCAACCAGTACAAGGCGACAATAGGTGCGGATTTCCTCACCAAGGAGGTGATGGTGGATGATAGGCTCGTTACTATGCAGGTAAGAGCACACCTGACAGGTAGACCTAGCAGGTAGACCTAGCAGGTAAACTAATGTAAAATAATAAACGCTTGCGTATATCTATTTATCATTCATTATCACGGGTTTAACAATTAACAGCGCTGGCGGCAATGAGTGCGTGTTCCATCCTCCGTCGATCCGTCAACATTTTGTGTTGCTGCGAGCGACTTTTAATGAAGGAAAGAAACGATAATTACGACTTTCAATAATAACGGTTGAGAATGGAAGCGGGTTGCTGTCTCTGGGTAACTTATTATCAGGACCCGCTTATTTTACTCATGAATTTTACTACTACAGTTAAACCTCGATTATCCGAGCGAGACGGGTGGGGAGTATTTTGCTCGGATAACTGACCTAATCGTAAATAAAGGGTATTATTCACGGGACCTTGAGATCTTGTTCGGATAATCGATGTTCGGATAACCGAAGTTTGACTGTAGTTGTATAGTAGGAACGATTTTCGAAATTTGGACCGGCCGGGGTTTGCGGACTTTCCGAGACCGTAGCGGACTGCCAGTCCGATTACTTTGTAGTTGCTGATAATGTAATGATCTAATTCGAATAAATTCGATGTATTCTCGACTTTGATTCGCGACTGCGCGTTGTTTGTTTAGTTCGCGTTACGAAAAAATTTATTCATTAAATCTCGAAAGCTGTGCACTCCGTATCGCCACGAAACGATTAAAATGCGATACATTCTCCATTTCGATTCTTGACTCGCTATCTCACCGGCGCCCTCTACCTTCTATCCCCGCATTCTCTGCCTTTGAGATAAAATGTGCTTTTTCTTATGGATTTTGACGCGCTGAATTCAAACATGACGATTAAAAAACTGCTTTAAAATCATTCACATCGACGTCTTTTCATCTCGATTTTGATTCTCGACTCACCGGCGCCCTCTATCTTCTCTCTCCCGCCGCGCACAGATCTGGGACACGGCCGGGCAGGAGCGCTTCCAGAGCCTTGGCGTCGCGTTCTACCGCGGAGCCGACTGCTGTGTGCTCGTCTTTGACGTGACTCAGCCGAACACTTTCAAGTCGCTCGACAGCTGGCGGGACGAGTTCCTCATCCAGGCGGGGCCTCGCGATCCGGACAACTTCCCGTTCGTCGTGCTCGGCAACAAGATCGACCTCGAGAATCGGGCGGTGAGTAGCGCCGGCGCCCCCTGGTGCGGCGGCGGCGTCCGGTTCGTGTTTCTCTCTCGCGCGCACGCGAGGGGGTGTGCAGAAGGGTGTTCCCTCGTTGGGGGGTGTTGCGACGTGTGTGCGTGCGTGCGTGCGTGCGTGCGTGCGTGCGTGCGTGCGTTTGTGTGCCTGTGCGTGCGTGCGTGTGTGGTGTGTGTGTGTGGGTGTGTGTGTGTGTGTGTGTGGGTATCTGTGTGTCTGTGTGTGTGTGTGTGTGTGTGGCGTTGCGTAACGTGCTGTGGCCCGCCGCCGCGTGTATGTGTGTGCCGCGCACGCCCGCGTCGTTGTACAAACAACTTCCCATGCATACAACTAACCATACTCGCCTCTCATCACCGCTACAGGGTTCAGCGGGCCCGCAAGGTTCCGATGGCCGAGAGGGTAGCCCAGCCCTCAGAGATGGAGCGACGGCAACGACGGAGAACCAGGCGCGCAGGGCATACAGGGCATCACGGCGCCTCATCGGACTGCCGGGACCAACAGGTTACGACGCGAAACGGCGGCGCAGGACGGAGAGCGGGGACCGGACGGACAGCCGGGACCGCCCGTAAGTCTGCCGTAGCCTGCTTGAAATGTTGTGC